CACACAGCACTTAATATCTGGCTGAGATTTAAAACGCATGCTCCTTATGAAGTGTGACATTTTATCCCTGAAGCCACAGGAACATTTCCCACATTTAAGTCATAGAGGGAAAATTCTTCAAATTAGATTTGAACTTTATACCTTCTAATTCTGCTGCAATCCTCCTCCTCCATGTACCACGCTTGGACCTGATGAACACACTGTTATATCAAAGTCTAACAGACCTGAGTGCTGACAAATCCCCTTCACTTAGCCTGGAAGTAAGCAGCAAACCCCCTGGAGATCCAGGAGTCAATGTTAACTGGAAAAAATAGCCAAATCACAAGGCTAAATGAAGTGGTCAGTGCAGCCCAGCTGGCAGAGCCACACTTTCTGGGTGCTACCGTGAGCTGGAAGCCAGCACCTGAGGCCACAAAGCTGACCCCAGTCCCCAGGGTTTGCGAGGGGCCACCCAGAGCTCCTTCAAACATTTCCACCCGTTTAAAGGAAAGCAAAACACCCACCTGCAAAGGAAGGCGTGGTCAGAGGGAGGGAGCACTCCTCTTACAAAGATGGGCTGTGAGAGCTGGGGGTGTTTACCTGAAAAAGTTCCAGGGAGACCTCAGAGCCCTAAAGAAGCTCCAAGCGATCTAAATATGGACATTGGAGAAGGGCCTGAAGTGCCAGGACACAGGGGAATGGTTTTAAACTGAAAGAGGGCAGGATTAGGTGGGATAAGAGGAAGGAATTGTTCCTGTGAGGGTGGGCAGGCCCTGGCACAGGGTGCCCAGAGAAGCTGTGGCTGCCCCTGGATCCCTGGAAGTGTCCGAGGCCAGACTGGATGGGGCTTGGAGCACCCTGGGCTAGTGCAAGGTGTCCCTGCAATAGCAGGGGGTGGGATGGGATGATGTTTGAGCTCCCTTCCAACCCAAACCATTCTGGGATTCTGTGAAGCCCTGAGCAGCAACTCCCCAGGCTTGCCCATCACAAGGTCCTACTTCTCATTTTCCAGACTCGGAGGTTTTCTGTGCAACTCAGCTGCAACCAGGTCCCCATTTGGGGACAGCTGTCCAGCTGTAACTGCTGTCCTTCAGGATGAGAAGAACCTACAAGGATTGTCAGGTCCAACTCCTGGCCCTTGACACCTCAAAAATCCTACCCTGTGCCCAAGAGCCCCTTCAGAGAAAGCTGCAGACCTCGGTGGGGTCTGACCTCTGTCTCCTCTAGGCTGAACAAGCCAAGTGCCCTCAGCTACTCCTTGTACAGCCCCTCCAGACCCTTCACCATCATCTGTCCCTCCTTTGGACACTCTCTGCCAGCTTTAGACCTTTCTTATCTAAAACTGCCCCCAGCACTGGAGGTGAGGCTGCCCCAGCCCAGAGCAGAGCAGGACAATCCCCTCCCTGGCCTGGCTGGCACTGCTGGGGTGATCCCCCAGGACAGGGATGTCCCTCCTGCTCCAGGGACTGCTGACTCAGATCCAACTGGCCATCGACCAGGACTTGCAGATCCCTGCTGCTCTGCAGGCTCTCATTCCCCTGTGTGCCTGTGCATCCAGGGCTGCCCTATTCCAGGTGCAGAATCCAGCACTTTGTTAAGTTTCACACAGTTGGTGACTGCCCAGCCTCAAGGAGCACATGCCACACTGCACCCCAGGCTGTCACACCTGTCCCTGTGGCCACACAGCAAACAGAATGCTGGACTCCCAGGTGGTGGCACAAAGCCCCAGCTCACCACGGATGGAGGAGGAAGCCCTGACCCACAGCTTCTCCCTTTGTATCTCTCTGGGCCAGCAACACTCAGGAAAAACCCACTCCACCTCCCACCCTGTGCCTCGAGGGACAGTCCAGACCTCTGGAAGTGCTTTGAAATACAAGTTGCAAAGGCAGAACATTATTCCCTTATTATGTTCTTGCTTTCCCTAAGCCCTACTCAATAACAGACAGGTGCACTAAGCTCTTTGCCAGGGACACACGTTGAGAGGAACAAGACCCTCCAGTTTTATGTTTTACACCCTTTGTAAGCTCACAGTCACCTCTTAAGCTTGTAATAAAAGATTTTTTTTAAAAAAAATGATGGCACCTAGTTTCCAAGGCAGCAGGACTTTTAAGCCCATGTTTGCAAGAGCCTGAGGAATTAGGGATGCCAAAAGGCACAGGCTGTATGAAACCCATCCCCTGTTCCTGCTGGACAGATCAAATAACATCACTTGGAGTTTTTAATGCAACACGAGCTGGATGAGGAAGTGGCCAGTGATGCTGTACAAAAAATGTACAATGAGTGGGATAACAACTACAAATCCCTTTAATCTCTGGTCTTACCTCGACATCTCAGACTGTTTGGAGCCTACAGGGATTATTGGAGATGCATGATTCCAGAATGGAAAGAGGGAAATGCTTTGTGGTGTTCACTGACCATGAGTGGTCTGCTGGACCTCAGCTGCAGTTCAGCCTGCAGTGATCACAGAATCACAGGATCATTTTGGTTGTTAAAGACCTCCAAGATCATCAAGTCCAGCCTGTGACCAATCCCCACCTTGTCACCCAACCCTGAGCACTGAGTGCCATGTCCAGGAGATCCTTGGACACCTCCAGGGATGGGGACCCACCAACACCTGGGCAGCCCCTTCCAAGGCCTGACCACCCTTTCCATGGAGAAATTCCTGCTGATGTCCAACCTAAACCTCCCTTGGCACAGCTTGAGCCCACTTCCCTCCATCCTGTCCCTGCTCCCTGGAGCAGAACACGACCCCCCCAGCTGTCCCCTCCTGTCAGGAGCTGTGCAGAGCCACAAGGTCCCCCTGAGCCTCCTTTTCTCCAGGCTGAGCTGCGGGGACATCACAGCCCAGGCAGACCTGTGGACTCTCACTTCAAATTACTGAAAAGCTCAAGGACTCAACTGGAAACCTGTTGGAAACCAGAACGTCTCCCACTTCCCGCTTTCCCCGTTCATAAATGTCTATTTTCTTAGGCTAAACAATTACTTACTCTCAGTCATACACAGCTCCCATTTCAGCTCAAAAACAGGCTCCTTTCCCATGGAAAAAAAAAGATAAAATTCAACCCCTACTCATTTTGTAATTAATTTTCTGCATGACTTTTCCCAGCAACACAACTCATTTTTTTCCCAAGTTCTCTATGAACTGATGAAAATAAAAATCCCCTCAGCCTCCCTGCATGCTCTCATGTACATCACTTCTTTGTAGCTTAATTTCCCATTTTTAAAAGGAAGACGTTTGCTTTCCTCCAACTTTTTTTTTGGGGGGAAGGGTGGAGAAGGAAGGTGGGGAAGTAAGCAATGAGTACTATTTCATCATTAATACAGCTTCCAGCACAATAAAGACAATCTTGTGCACTGTGACACTGAGGTGCTAACACAGGGCAATAAATTCAGATTAATAATTAAGACCCACATTATATCAAGCCATCTTGGTGCTCTCCTTTCAATTGCTTCAGAAATCTTCTTACTTTTTTATTGCAAACACATGCAATAGGTCGATCAGTCCTTAAAACCACACACGCTGATGGAGACAGCACTGCTGGGACTCTGCAGGTAAAACTTCTGGCTGAAAAGACACAGTTTGGCATCAAAAGTGGTGTACAGATGCCAGCATCAATGGAAATAAAAATGCAAGGTTCCTATTTGGGTTGCAGAGACTGAAATATTTTATTTAAAAAGGAACAAAAATAGAAGTTGCTTACTGCTTTTGAGACCATTCTGACCTGCACATGGATGAGGATCAGGCACTGGAAGGAAGCAGACAAATTTCCCATGTTAAATTTCAGCGTGAAGAACCACTTTGATATTAACATTGAAAATTACAAGCTGATTTTACTGCATTTTCCAACCTCATCATGAAGAAAATGCAACAAGTTCTCCTAAACCCCCCCCCACTGATCCAATACACTTAAAGAAATGATGCAGTGGGCACAGTCATCATATGGTTTGAAAAATAATATCCTTAGAAGCTTTTATTATGGTCTTCAAGATTCATGTTTTCAAGCTTTTCCTCCAAAACCGGGGGGGGCTAGAAACTTTATTTCAAAAACTTGATAGCCAAGAGTCTCACCTAATTATGTGAGCTGGGGCTTCAATGGGGAAAAAAGGGGAAAAAAAAGAATGGAAAAACAAAGGAAAGAAATGCAGGCATACAGAAATTAGTGCCAAAAAAGTACAATCACTGGCAAAACAGTCATTGTCCCAAACTTCTTGGTTTTTTCCTTCTCGCTGGCTCTGTGGATGAGTGCATTTTCCCCTCAAAATCTATGCTGAAATCATGTTCTCTAAACTGGTTTTTTAAGTGTTAAGGGAATGGAAGACCACTAGAAAGTTGCCTCAATATGTGCCTGAGGAAAGAAATAAGGAGAAGAAATTTAAAAAAAAAAAAAAAAAAAAAAAAAAAAAAAAAAAAAAAAAAAAATAGGAAAAATGTGAATGCAACAGGGACAAACCCTTGGTGGGGGAAGGAAATAACAGGGAGGAGAGAAAGTAAAAAAAATGATGAAAGAAAAAAATACAGGAAAGAGGAAGAAAATAGGGGAAAGTGTAGGAAAGGGATAGGAACATATAGGAAAGGGGAGCAAAGGGGGAAAAGGGAAATATAGGAAAGGGGAGAGAACAAAAAATACATGAAGGGGGGGAAGGAAAATAAAGGAAAAGGTGAGAAGGGGGGGAAGGAAGATGTAAGAAAGGAAGAAAAAAGGAAAATAAAGAGAGGCAAAGAAAGGGGGGGGAAGGAAACTAATGTGGGGAGTGAAAATAATAGGGGCTGGGAAGGAAACTTGGGGCAAAAAAACAAAACTAAAGGGGTGGGCGGTGTGATAGCAACATGGGACTGTTTTAAAGTGAAAAAGGAGATATTTATATCAGATACACAGAAAATAATCCTTGCCTGTGAGGTTGGGCAGGCTTTGGCACAGAGCAGCTGTGATCCCTGGCAGTGCCCAGGGCCAGCCTGGGACAGCGGAAGGTGTCCCTGCCACGGCAGGGTGACACTGGACGGGCTCTGAGTCCCCATGCAGCACAAACCACCCGTGATGCTGCGGGCAGAAAAGAAGGCGGAAAGCGCTGCCCTCGCTCGGAGGAGAAGCCGCGGGCAGGGCTCGGCCCCCGGGCCGTGTCCACGGCAACGCTCGGGCCGGGCCCGCGGCCCTGTCGGCCCGGCGGGGCTCCAGGGACGTACCCGTGTCGGTGTCGGTGTCGGTGTCGGTGTCGGTGCCGGTGCCGGTGTCGGGCTCGGTGTCGGTGTCGGGCTCGGTGCCGGAGCGGCTCCCGGTGCCCAGCATGTCCCAGGCGTGAGTAGCCCGGGGCGCGGCGCTGAGGGGCGAGAGGCCCCTCAGAGGGGGAGACCCAGCGCGGGGCGCGGCGGGCGGGTGCACCCCCACAAAGCCACCGCGTCCTCTCAGGAGAACCGGGCAAATATTATTATTATTATTGTTATTATTATTCCCTCAGACCCTCTGCGCAAAAGGCTCCTCTCTCTTAGAGCCCAGGCTCCGCGAAAATCCCCTCAGACCGGGCAGGCGCAGCCCGGGGGGAGGCGGGCGCACCCCGCAAAGCGACCACGTCGCCTCAGGAAAACCAGGCAAATATTAATGTTATTCACTCAGACGCTTTATGCGAAAGGTTCCTTGCTCTTACAGCCCACGTAGTGTCGTGTTTCCCCCCAGTAATTTTAGCACAGTGCAAAACTTTACAAGTTCTTTTGCAAAAAACAGACAGCAATGACAGCATTGGATCAAAGCGCCTGCAAGGAGCTGTGCTCACTCCCCCAGAAACATGACTCCAAGCCCAGCTATTATTATTATTATTATTATTATTATTATTATTACTATTATTACTATTATTACTATTATTACTATTATTACTATTATTATTATTGCTGCTGTTACAGTGCTGGGAGCTAAATTGTGAGCATCTTCCATAATATTATCCCTCAGTGCTGCTTGCTGCTTCCAGCTCCAGCAGCCCAGCCCAGTTTGTGGAGGCTCTTTTTCCCCAGTTCCAAGCTGGGCATGGCTTATTCAAGTTCAATAAATAATAGCGCATTAGGAAAAAAAAAATTAGAAAACACCTCGGGGTGGTTTTGCTGCCTCCTTCTGATCCTTTCCTTCACGCTCAAACCTGACCATATTCAAACTGCTGTCCCAGCAGGTTGTGAGCAAAGCCTTTCCTGGCACCTGTGCTGGAAATCATTTCATCTTCCCCATGGTCTCCCTCCTCTTGCATCAGTGGTACTCAAAGCCCACTGCTTCTTTTGCCCATTTCCAAACTCACAGTTTTTTGCCAGATAAAACTCCCTCAGATTCTAAAACATCCTTCCAAATTCAGAACCAGAGCAGCCCTTCTTGTCACCAACACCTTGGGTATCATAGAGCTATTAAGGTTGGACAAGACCTGCAAAATCACCTAGTCTAACCTTCAGCTGAAATATCATTAAATGCCCTATCTGCTTCCAGGGATTGTGACTCCACTGTTCCCTTCAGCAGCCTGTTCCAATGCTTAATTACTCTTTTCAGTGAAAAATGTTTTCCTAATAACCAATCTAAGCCATCTTGGCTTAACTTGAGGCCGTTTCCTCTTATCCTAGTGCTTGTTGCCTTTGAAAAGAGGCTGAGCCCCAGCTGACCACAACCCCCTTTGAGGCAGCTGCAGAGAGCAATAAGGTTTCCCCTGAGATTGTTTTCTCTAGCCTTCTTTTCTCCTCTCCTGCCTCCACACATGGGCGGCCCCAGCCAGATACCAGTGAAAACTCTACTCCTTACCAGCCAGGCAGCTCCTTGGTTCAGGAGAGGAAGGTGAGAGGAATGAAGAACAACATCCCCAAGGGCAGGGCAGAGACTGTCTGGGGTCTGTGGCCAAGGACGGACCCAGCTCAGCCTCCAAGCTCAGCTTGGTTAGATAGATCCCTGGTGGATCCAAGGCAGGGCTTATATAAATCATGCCTAACACTCTTCATGGAATCAGTTCAGTGAAGTTCACAAGGTAGTGGAGAGTTATCTGAATTGTGCTCTTTAAAAGAAAAAAAAAAAAAAAAAAAAAAAAAAAAAAAAAAAAAAAAAAAAAAAAAAAAAAAAAAGAGAGAGAGATAAAGGAAGAAAGAAAAAACCCCACAAAGTAGTATTTGACCTCTTCAGAGTTATCTCAGAATCTGTCATTTCTACCCAATCTCTGAATCATGGCTGCAGTTATTTGAGCCAGATTAACACCAAAGGAGTTAAGATGAGCATAGCTGGGAAAATATTTGTGCTCCAACTGGTTTGGCTCAGTTTACTTTTAACAGAGACAGGGCTTTTTAGCATTTCCTTTGGCATTGCCAGCACTGAACAACAAATCCATATAAACACATGCCTACACCACATGACAAAAACACACATCCACACATCCACTCCTGTTTCTGAGCAAGGTGCTGCTGAGGGATTCTCAATTTGGTGTTGAAGCTCCTTGGCTCAGGTTGCTGTAATGACATTGTAGCTATGCACAGGCCAGGATTTACAGCTCTTCCTAAACACAAGCCAGAGTTGGGTTCAAAGGCTGCTGGTAATGTGTTTGGTGGTAGTGAGTTATGCTGGCTGTGTACCATAAATCAGAGTTGTTTAGGTTGGAAAAGCCTCTGAGATCATCAAGTCCAACCCTTTACCCAACTCTGCCAAGGCCACCACTAACCAAAGTCCCCAGGTGTCACATCCAAATGGCTTTTAAATCCGTTCAGGAATGGGCACTCTACCACCTTCTTCTTTCCATGGAGAAATTTTTGCTAATATCCAGTCCATCGTGTGTCCTCCCAGTAGCTAAACGGGGTTGACAAGAAGGCCAGAGAGGGACATTTCACACAGGGATGAAGTAATAGAACAAAGGGGAATGGCCTTTAGCAGGAGGGCAGGTAAAGATTGGAGATGTTGAGGAGAAATTCTGCCCTGTGAGGGTGGCAAGGCCCTGGCACAGGTTGCCCAGAGCAGCTGTGTCTGCCCCTGGATCCCTGGAAGTGTCCAAGCCAGGTTGGACAGGGCTTGGAGCAGCCTGGGCTAGTGGAAGGTGTCCCTGCCCATGGCAGGGGGTGGGATGTTCTTTAAGCTCCCTTCTAACCCAAACCATTCCATGATTCTGTTACTTTATAAACCTTCCCTGGTGCAACTTGAGGCCGTATCCAAGGTATTTTAAATGCCATGTGACAAAAATGACTTATAACAACCTGCCTTACCTGAAGGCAGTGAGGCAAAGAGACAATAATGAAAGAGGGTTATGAGAAAGAACTTTGGCTCCTCAGAAACAGAAATGTTACACCGCTTTCCTGGAGCTAACCCTTGGGTTCTGAGGCATGTTCACCATCCTCCAGGTCCTGTGATTCTAGGAGGTGTGGGCTAAAGCAGAAGATTTAATTCCACTGCCTCAGAGGAAGCTCTGTGGCAGGGCAGAGAGGATGCTCAGAGCGCAGCAATGTTCTCTCTTAGGGTCACTAAGTCCAGCAGCCAGCCAAGGGAGAAGTCAGCATGTCCAGACATGCCTGGTATTTTCTAGGGACAGTCTCAGCCCTCGGGAGGGAACAGAGCCATTAAGTGTAGGGTGATTAAAAAGTGCTGGGGTATCTCACTTCCCAAAGCACTCAGCCTCAGCATTTGCATGCAGATGTACCTTCTGTTCCAGACACTGGAGATTCATAGAGATGCTGCTGTATTTATGTTTTCCTGCTGTTTCCTCCTCTTTTATGGATTTGTTTACCCTCTCCTTGACCCGGGGGATCCTGACCAGTGATTTCTTACCTTGCCTCTGGCAGCCCTAGTCCAGACACGTTCAAAGCCAAGTCTTGGCACTGCTACCACTCCTGCCAGGTTTTAATCAGCTACAAGACATTTGCCACTGCCACCAAGGAGCTTTAAACAATCAAAGCGCTTTAAAATTTAATCTCGTGTCACAAATAGAATTTATATTAATTCACTGGTCAAATATTGATCTAAGACAAGATCCCGAGCATTTCCCTTCCTGCTTCCAACAGAAACAACCAAAGCAGAGCTCTCTGTTTTATATCACATCCCAAAGGCTCAGCTGAAGAAAATTAAGATTGCAACACCCAAATGTGAAAAAATGTCAGTGCAACTTCTAATCCCCTCCCCTCTCCCTCCTCATGTTCTGTGGCTGCATTACGATGCAGTTTCTGATGCTGCGATCACATCCTATTCTCTTCCCACGGGGCCCCAGCCTCATTCAGCCATTGGCCCGTTGTTGAATATTTCTTTTTATCCCCTCATTCAGCGTCTGGCCCCAGGCCATATTCTTCAAATTCCAACCAAACGCCACAATTATTAGCTTCCTCCTGGGCATTCTTTGCATGTTCTCTCTCATACATCTCCCAAGCAGTCACAGATTCATCTTTGCCCCTCTTTCCACCCCTGGTGAGCATTAGCACATCATCTTGCTTATGTTAAAGCAGGAAATCAGAGACAGGATCAAATTGATCACAGCTAAGACTCAAAGCTGCAGCTCCCTCCTGTGCCTCCCTTCATCCTTAATGAGCAGGTAGGGAAAGATCTTGTGTATTACTCGTTCAGTGTCTCCTCTGGGGAAAAGCATTGTCAGTGGAAATATCCCAGCAGCACTTGTGCTGGAAAACAGAGAAAGAAAAGGCCCCAGTCTTCAAGAAACTGAGTAGGTGGTGTCAGCTTTGAGCCTAAAGCCTCCTGCTCCTGGCTTGGGTAGAGCAGCGCCCAGACACAGCCCTTTATGCATGGAATTGTAGGCAGCTTGATGGGTAATTGCCCTTTCCTGTCCTAAGGAAGAGAGGGGTAAAAAGAAAAATATTGCATAGGATGGTTAAAGCTGAAATAAACTTTGTTTTCAGAAGCAGTGAAGTGTGTTATAGGCAAATACTGCTTGCAAGGAAAAAGTCTGCTTGCAAAGGAGAGAGGAGGCTGCTGTTCATATAACACAGAATAATTTGGGTGGGGAAGGGACCTTAAAGCTCATCTTCCATGGGCAGTGACACCTTCCACTGTCCCAGGCTGCTCCAAGCCCTGTCCAACCTGGCCTTGGGCACTTCCAGGGATCCAGGGGCAGCCACAGCTTCTCTGGGCACCCTGTGTCAGGGCCTCATCACCACATAGGGAACAATTCCTTCCCAATATTCCATCCATCCCTACCCTCTGGCAGTGGGAAGACATTCCCCCTTGTCCTGGCACTCCAGGCCCTTGTCAGTAATCTTTTCTCAATTCATCTTGCAGGTTCCTTTCAGGTACTGGAAAGCCACAGTTAGGTCACCCCAAAGCTTCTCTTCTCCAGCATTCCCAATTCTTCCAGCCTT